ACTTTTCTACTAGCACACACTTTACATCTCTTTTAGGACAGTCACTCCCACACAATCAACACCTTTGCCAACTTGAACAACCGCTTTCACATATACACTGATGCCTCCAACTATCAGCTCGGTGCAGCCATACTCCAGAATGACAGACCAATAGCCTATTGGTCAAAAAACTCAACAAAACCCAAATGAATTACACTACAATGGAAAAGGAGTTCTTAGCAATCATCCTTTGCCTCAAAGAGTATCGGAATATGCTCTACGGTGGCAAGATCAACATCTACACTGACCATAAGAACATCTACACTGACCATAAGAACCTTATCTTCAGGACACTGTCCCAGTCCCGGGTGCTTCGATGGAAACTCTCCCTTGAGGGATTTGACATCACCTGGCAATATATTCCAGGCAAGAAGAATGTCTTGGCCAATTGTTTTTCCAGAGTGCCCAGAATGTATCCGTGCACTGTTGGGGATAAAGAAAAGAGAATATATGAGAAGAATAAAGGAACAGTGGTGAATTTCAAAGAGTTGACAGCCCAAGTGGATCCAGAGGATGTCTTTTACCTGGAGCCAGAACTATACAAGTGTTTGCTCAATCTACCACCAGTATCAGAGATTGAGAATCCAATAACAAATGCAAGCCTTTATACTTATCAACTCATGGACCCACAGTGTCAACACTTACTTGAAACTGATCCACAACATTATGTGAAGAGACGGATAGGAACCTTTGAGTTACTCACAGTATCCACGAATGATAACAATAATTGGAAGATCTACTTGCCAGAAGGGCTGGTTGATAGCACCCTCAGATGGTATCATCTACTATTAGGACATTGTGGCAGCACCCGGCTCTATGAAACTATCAGTGCTAGGTTTTATGCTCCATGACTCAGCCTAAGATGCAAGCAATATCAGTGTCTGGATGAATGCCACAGATTCAAACAACAAGGACAGGGACATGGTTTATTACCAGCTCGGGAAGCACAACTTGTTCCATGGAATGAAGTATGTGTGGATTTGATCGGTCCTTGGAAGATACTTCTCCCGGATGAAACTGAATTGGTGATCAATGCCCTCACTTGCATTGATCCAGTCACCAACTTATTGGAGATCATCAGAAACAACAACAAGTCAAGTGAGCATGTTGCAGAACAGTTTTCCAACTGTTGGTTGTCAAGATACCCACGACCCAACAGATGTGTCCATGATAATGGTACAGAATTCATCGGAACCCCATTCAAACAGTTACTGAATCAATATGGAATTAAGAGTGTCCAAACTACTGTTAAGAATCCACAGGCAAATGCAGTGTGTGAGAGAGTTCATCAGACAATTGAAAATGTTCTGCAGGCCACGCTTCATACCAAATCACCTGAAGAAGCTGAATTTGATGAAGATCAACTGATTGACAATGCCCTTGCCTCTGCAATGCATGCTACCCGATGTGCAGTGAATACAGCAGTGAAGACATCACTAGGAGCTCTGGTTTTCAACCAAGATATGGTCATGGATATCCCACTGATTGCTGATTTAAACCTTATCCGAGACAAAAGACAACACCAGATAGATGAGAATCTTAGGAGAGAAAATGCTCGGAGGATACCCTTCAAGTATCAGGTTGGACAACAAGCTTACATGAAACACTATGGACCAGACAAGCTGTCCCAAAGATTACATGGTCCTTATCCCATTGTGGAGATCAACACTAATGGGACTGTGGTGTTGCAAAGAAGTGACAACGTACGTGAGACTGTCAATATCAGGAAGCTTGTTCCTCACAAAGGAACTAATGCAAATGCCACTCCTGAAAACCCAGCAGCAGAGGAGGAACCCCCTGTTGAAAACATTGAAGATATGATTGCTACAGTCTAGTAGTAGTAAGTAATATTGCAAATATTGAAGCAACATTCCTGTCTGGGATAATGGAACAGATATGTACGTACTGTATCGGAAGTATACGGTACGGAGCTTCGAAGAGAGGAATGAAGAAGGAACATACCATTCCTATGTACCTATCATAAGTTACCCTTCCTATGTATGTATCGTAGGATCCATCTTGTTGAGGATCATAAGAGGTCCAAGATTTCATTCGAGAATCCCAAATTGTTGGAATCTTGTGAAATTAGTAGCCAGCAATTGTACAGGATTCCAAATTCCAAAAATGGAGGGAAAATATGTAAGTTGAGCTGGCCGACTGTGCCTTCAGTACCAATGAACGTGATTCCCGAAAACATACCTCAATATATTTTTATCAGGAATGACCCAATGAGCAGATAAGGTGTTTTAAAAAACTCTTTTTGGTATTTCAGTCTTATTTTGTGTAGGATATGTACTGCAGTCTACACAGGTTGAAATCATGGAAACTCCAAAAAAATTCCAAAAATCCACGGAGACGGGAAAAAGTTAATTAGCGACTGCTTGCGCATGCTGGTTCGAATTAAGGCTACCATTCCACAGTAGAACCCTGTAGATTTTGTACTATGTAAAAGCTGTAACGTCGTATTTTTTTGAACCGTTGACGTACGGTATGATTCAAACACAACGGTGCCATACCGGTATGCTGTTCATTGCAAGGGTGCAGTTTTTTGTTTTTTATGGTTTACGTCTTCCGCCTGTCCCTCGTTTCCAATAATTAAAAATTTAGTAGTAAAAATTAAAAATTAGGCTTAGTTCGTGCTTCGTAATTCATAGAATTTGACCTCGGCTCGCGACAACGGCTAATTCTGATTCTATCTTTTTTCCCTGGTCCAAAATGTTGACACAACTCAATAAATACAGAATCTGTTTGGGTACGAGTCCTGCTCCTCGGTGCCATAGAAAGAAGCTAAATAGTTGCTGTTGTAGAAAATCCTTGTGGAATGCCAAACTCTTCCAGTACATTAAGATTTTTGGGGCAACTGTGCAGAGAGTTGAAAAGAAATGAATTTGCTGAACTTTGGGCCAAGGTCGCTGATCAGAATTTTGCAATCCGCAATTGTGTTTTCGGTATTTTCGTCAATGTGGCTGCTTCAACGATCGGAAACATCGAGAACCCTAGTGAATGACGTAGACGTAGAAGTGTGGAGGGTCGGGCTCCGGAAAGGGAAAGACTTCGCTTTGGCTGAAACGATACAAAAAAGGAACAAAGTTCTGTTGTCTCGTCGTCTAGACATCACGGAAACTCCTATTCAAAACGTTATTGGCTTTCCCTCAAAAAATCGGAGCGAGCTTTCAGCACCACAATCAGCTCACTTACAAGATGTGCTTGCTAATCCTGAGAAAGAAAAACGCCAAGAGGGTTCATATGCAGCTGTCACAAAAGACCAGTCAGTGGATTCGGAGAATGAAGAAAAACAGATGGAAGATATAGCGGGTAACTCTTTTCGTGACGGCAAAAGAAAAGATGACGTAGGATCCGAGAGTCACATTGAAAGTTACGAAGGTAGCTCAGCCGGGGCTAATAATGATCGAAATGAATTGGTCACGACGAGGGAGCAAATTTATGATAATAAAGAAAAACAGGTGGAAGATACAGAGAGTAACTCCAATGGCGACGGCAAAGGAAAATATGACGTGGGATCAGAGGGCCGCATTCAAAGTGACGAAGATAGACCAGCTGGAGCAAATAATAATGGAAATGAATTGGTCACGACGAGGGAGGAAACTTATGATTGGGGTCAATGGGATGTTCCATCTGATCTAGTGGGTGATCGGCAGGGAAACGAACCAAAAATTTTATGGGGGATCGCAAGTGCATTTGGGAGTGACATGGAAAGGCGAAGGCGGGAGGTTATGAGAAAATCATATTTGTCTTTCTACAAAAACAATGTCCATCTTGTCGATAATCCCGATCGCATTTGCTCATTGATTGATGTTATGGAGAAAAAAGTTGAATTCGACAAGTGTCAAATGGTGTACACCTTCTTCATGGGTGGAAATCCCGATGGAGAGGAAGAAATGATGCTTGGAACCGACTCACAGTCCTCTGATTATTTGGCTGATACTTCTACGATCCCTGACGCCGAACGCGATTCAACTTACCTGAATATAAAGGAGAATCAATTTGGTGGAAAGATGCAGTCATGGTTTGCTTATGCATCCAGTATAATCAATGAGGGCTTGGCCTTCGACTATGTTGTCAAAGCCGATAGTGACACCTTACTTTATCCGACAAAATTCCTAAAGGTTGTGAACCGAAAACTCCCAGCAAATCCGGTTAGAATTTATTCGGGAGTATCCGTCTCGAGATTGCACTGTGGATTCAGAAAGGACGAACATTGCTCAAAAATGATAGACAAATACTACATGGGAGGTGCTGCAGAGATTCTTTCTGCAGATCTCGTTCATCACGTTGCGTCACTATCGTATGAGAGAAGGCGAGAACTTGAAATTACAGATCACGAAGACATATCGATCGGAAATTTCGTATTGAGTCATCCCGATCATGTCACTCCGATTGAACTCGGGTACCCAGGAAAATTAGTACGGAACAAACCGCTTCTCTTGCCCTGGGTCTGGTCACATGACAAAAAGACTAAGCAGCCAGGGAAATGGCTATCGAGATGGCTAAATTATGAGAAAGACGAAAGATGGCGAAATTCATCAAGTGATAATATCATGATTGTAGCAGCTTCGAAGAAATGTAGTCAGCTTGTCGACAAAGTGATCAGACCGTCATGTACGAAAGTTGGCAAGTCAAAAGTAGAGCACTGTGTTATGAATGGTTTTGGCGACAAATCGGAGCTGCACATCTCGAAACTCGCGACAAACACGTCATCCTTCGTATCGTCTACGGAGACAGTGGGTGATGTCACTTCCGAGACATGGAATCAAAGGATGGTCGTTACAGTTCAAAATCCCATTAATGAGCTTCTCACCGATTGGCTAGATGGTCTATCTCCAAGCAACAATGCCGAAATTGTTGTAAATACTTCTCGGAACCGAAAAGCCTTATTGCAAGTGAAAAGTTCTTCTAGCGAGATTTTCGTCGTCCGAGCGGAACATATTTGGGACGACATACTATTTTTAGAAGAAATATTAGGGAATCCAAACGCTCGCAATATCGAAGCGACAGAGTGGCCCTCACTCTCAGATCCTGCTGTTGCAATCAAAATGAACATTGCTGAAGGAAAACTAGTTTCGCTACAAATGTGCTGTGCATTGCATGGGGAGATTCGTGCATATAATGAACTCCTTCTCCTTGGCAAGAATCTAGAGGCACCAGAAAGCAAACTACAGGAGTCTTTGGACAGCACCTACAGAAGTTGTGGAGTCCAGAGTTCCCATGAGCTAGAGGACAAGTGCAGAGCATCAAAAACATCATTTGCTCAGGAATAATCGCCGGCATCATTGAAATATCGTGAGCTGTGTACATACGACATTATTGAATGAGTTACTCAAAAAACAAAAATCCTCACTTCGAAACTCTGTTGACTTGCAGGTGCATCGAATTGCTGGCAAGCAGTCTGCTCTTCAAGTCACCCAACGTATCAATATAAATAGTTAGGAATAGCAGCATTAATATTAGTGATACTAACTTCGTTTTGTAGTTGGCGGCAATGTGGATACTGCGCGAGTAAGCAGGCGTTGTAGTCAGGAATCATGTTACAAAGCAGCCTCTGCCACAGCTCCGGTGGGCGTCTTGGCTGGGACACGGTCCTCGGGCACAGAGCAGAACTTGGAACTCAATCGCTCCCTCACATCTCGCCAGTCGATCTTGCTCGTATCTGTGCTCAGTACGGGCACATACACCGGTGCCGGCATATTCTTACCAAGAGGTAAAACATCAGGTGTGATCCCCAGTCCCTGGATTTCAGACCCGCTGGGTGTTATGTACTTGGCCACCGTTACGACTAACCCTGCGCCGTTCTTCAGACCATACACTGCCTGTATAAGGCCTTTCCCAAAGCTCTTGTCGCCCATAGTGACGGCCCGACAATTGTCGTGGAGGGAGCCCGCTAGGACTTCCGATGCAGAAGCGCTCAGTCCGTCGATCCATACCACCATCGGAGTTTCTGGGTCGATCGAGAGGTCCTGCAGCTTAGGGGTTCGAAAGGGTAACTCTACCTGGTTGCTATCCACCACATAGGTCGCGACTCGGTCCCGCAAAAACAATCCGGAAATCTCAATCGCCGACTGGAATGCCCCGCCCGTATTACCCCTTAAATCCATAACGTAAGCGTTTGCCCCCTCCTTATTTAGCTCAGACAGAGCATGTTGGAGAGAAGAATTGACTAGTGAGTTGAATTCCGAAACGCGCACATAACCGACCTCTATATGTATGCACAGTGCAATATCAAACGATGGAAAATTGTTGTGCATGACAATCGATAGCCAAAAGCAGTTAAAGACCGATGCCAATTTTTTGCGGAGAGTGAATTAGAGAAACATCAGACGAGTAAACGAAGGAAGAAAGATATTGGGAACATCTAGGTTAATCATAAATGCTTGAAATATGAAGGTTTGAACACAATAATACTTACTTGTTCCGTCGGATCGTGTCTCGGAAATCTTGAATTGGACCGGATCCTTGACTTCCATCGTTTGTCGCTCCAATGTAACCACAAAGTTATCAGCCGATTGGGGGTTCCCGATAGAGTCTATTGTGCTAGGACCCTTGTCGCGCAATATCGAGAACGAGACTTGTTTTGCGTTAGGATTTTCTCCAATCTGATCGATAATATCAAATGCGTTTCTACCACGGGTGGGAATCCCGTTGACGGCCGTCACATAATCTCCCATTTTCAGGCCAGCCTTGTCGGAGGCTGACCCAGCAATAGGAGGAGCGCCGATGATGATATCCTTTTGGGAGTTGGGCATTAATGTGACTCCGACTCCGATGAGGTCGAACTTTTGAATCGCGGCGTACTGGTCCTTGTCCAGAACCCTTGTGTACTTGTCGCCGAGGGATTGAACCATTTCCGTCACAATTTTCATTGACTTGTTGTCATTAAAGTTTACCTTTACTCCCTTCGATTCCACCTTCTCTCTCACTTTGTTCCAGTCCTGGGAGTTGAAAGATTGGTCGATGTAATAATTGCTTAGGAGGGTCCACACTTCGTCGATCACAGACGAGGAGAAGTCTCCGTTTCTTTGTTCCGCGGCTCTTCGCGCAATTTCTTTCTGGGAAACTCCCTTTAGAAGCATACTTTCTTGTTCTTTCTCAGACGTTGTCGTAGCAACTATCGTGAAATCTGTGTCTGTTGTATCAGCGAAGGCAGGAAGTGCAGGAGCCATCATTGCCGTGCTGGAAGAAAACAAAACAACCGATGCTGCTGTCATGGTTGCTACCAGGCATGACATACGATCCACTAAGGACTTGAATTCATTCGTTTGCAAGGTGCTTTCATTTTCATTGTGTTGGGCACCAAGCCGTGTCACCAATCTCGTCTTTGTGATGTAAGTCTGATGGAGAGGCTGAAAAGATACGCAAATTCCTGGAAGCACGATCACTATCAACACTAATCGGAGAACTGAATGCCTGTACATTGCCAAGTTCACTGCATGGGACTTCATCATTCTGGAACTCTTCCTGATGCAATTCCCTCTGTGATGGATTTTATCTAGCAAAATATTGCAATTTTCGATCAACAGAACTTCCCAAAAATGATCACGGGGAGGTGACTTCCGACACAACTCAACTGTTGATGATACAATAATATATTGCAACAACTTCCACGCGTATTTCGCGAGTGCGTGACTTAAGCATGATAAGCATGACTCATGACTCGGAGGCCAACGGAGAGCCGCACAAAAAATGCGTCTGAGGCCTCGATGATTTTTTTCTTCTGAGAAAAAAGAAAATTCAAAGTTTCATGTCGTTTAGCAGCTCCACCACGAATGCGTCCAAGAGATCGACTCTACGCATCTACACTAAGTCTTCCTTTACGATGATTGGTATCCTCCTTGCTGAACCCAGCAACGCTTTTTTTGGTAAATAAGCTTCCGGTACAACTACCGCCTTTTCATCGTACTCTCGTTGCACACATCGAATTCAAAACAAAGAATACAGTATGGCCCGATTCACTCTTGCAGCCCTCTCCCTCTTGGGTGCTTCACAATATGTCACCGCCTTTCAGCCGGTAACACCATCGGCGGTACGCATGGCCTCCTCTTTGAACGCCGTTTCGAAGAAGGATTCCTATACGGTCACCCTTCTCGCTGGAGACGGAATCGGACCCGAGATCTCGAAAGCCACCAAGGGCGTCTTGGAAGCTCTCTGCGCAAAGCAAGGATTCTCTCTGGAGCTCAAAGATGCTTTGATTGGTGGTGCCGCCATTGATGCCGTCAACGACCCCTTCCCCCAAGAAACCCTGGATCAATGCCAGTCCTCGGATTCTGTCTTGTTGGCCTGTATCGGTGGATACAAGTGGGACAACAATCCTCGTGAATTACGTCCCGAGACTGGCCTCTTAAAGATGAGATCCTCCATGGGACTCTTCGCCAACCTCAGACCTGCGAAGGTCTTGGACCAATTGATTGATGCCTCCACCCTTAAGCGTGAAGTCGTTGAGGGCGTCGATGTTATGGTCGTTCGTGAATTGACCGGAGATGTCTACTTTGGAACCCCTAAGGGAATCGACGAAGTTGACGGTGAGTAGAATAATTTCAACTCTATTTTTGTTGCAGCGGAATAAAGTGGACATAGAAATCTATTGGAATATGTCTGTTGAATCTTTGATTGATTGATTTGAGACTGAGGGTAAATGATCAAAAGCAGCGGGTAAAGCAGCTTGTTTTATTGCGTCGAAGAACCAGGAAGTATCGAAAGACGCAATATGAACTCCGTAATTTTAGAATCCAGATGGGGGATTTCAAATCACTATTTCCCCTCGGACTCATCATTTATTTTGTTGTCTAATTAATTCTTTTCTTTCCGACTGCTGAACTGAAATGATTTGATGATTTATTCAATTTGCGATTTTCGCGAAACTTTTCCTGCATTTGCTCTTTCCTTAATTTGATGTTTCTGATCTATTCGTCAACTATATTGCATTGGTGCCAATCATTATAATGAATTCAATAAAATACACAATTTTTGAACCAAAGGCGAACGCATCGGATACAACAACATGATTTACAAGGAATCTGAAATCGATCGCATCGCCCGAGTTGCCGGTGACGTCGCCTCCAAGCGCAACGGCAAGTTGTGCAGTGTTGACAAGGCCAATGTTTTGGACGTGAGCCAGTTGTGGAGAGAGGTCGTCACCGACGTCATCAGCAAGGACTTCGAGGACGTCGAACTCAGTCACATGTACGTCGATAACGCCGCCATGCAGCTCATTCGATGGCCCAAGCAATTCGACACCATCGTCACCGGAAATATTTTCGGAGATATTTTGAGTGACGAAGCCTCTATGCTGGTTGGATCGCTCGGTATGCTACCCTCTGCGTCCATCGGAGAATCCGGACCGGGTGTCTTCGAACCCTGCCACGGATCGGCACCTGACATTGCCGGAGAAGACAAAGCCAACCCCTTGGCCATGATTCTGAGTGCAGCCATGATGTTGAAATACGATCTCGATCGTCCCGAGGAAGCCCAAATGTTGGAGGATGCCGTCGAGAGCGTCTTGGAACAAGGATTCCGAACACCTGACATCAAGATCGAGGGCGATGGCTGCAAGCTTGTGGGATGTGTCGAGATGGGAGAAGCCGTTGCCGAAGCCGTAACCGCCATGGAAACTATTTCTGTATAAAGCAATAATTTTAAAATCCTTTTATGATCGATGATGCTGATTTCTGAAAAATGTTTTAGTTCTGGTTTGAAAAAGAAAGAGCAATCGTGCTGAGCAAGGCATATAATAAAATAAATACAGGTCTACTCTTAGTAATCATTTGCATGAGTCGGGGCATTTTCTACTCTCCACTAATCTATGGACGATTAGAGCATCGACTAACCAAGATGAGGAGAATGAAGCCATTGTCTCTACAATGCGAAGCGTCGTGCCGTGTAATTAAACTCTATTTTTCCTTAATATAGCTTGGAAGGTTTGATCTTAGAATCAAAAGTAACGGCCAAACAGTCTCCCACTTCTATCAGTTGGGGAGAGGACTCCACGCGGACCATGTTTTGATTGGAGCATTCCGGGTGTGAAAAGGGTGTCACGCCGTCTTCGACCCATTGGTCTTCTAGTACCTTCAGCTGGAATGGTTTTGGCAGTACCCAGTTGGCACCGCAGTTTCGGAAATGATCCACGTCCTCCGACATGACGTTTCCGGTCACGCCGGCAATGTACGACGAGCATCCCATCTTTCGCATCATCTGGCAGGCATTGGGCCCATTCATTACAGGCATTTCGTAGTCCAGAAGAATGCAGTCGTAGAATTTCCCAGTCTCCAGTGATTCCTTCACCATCCGCACGGCCTCGTCTCCATCGCAGGCCGCCTCTGTGGTGTGGCCGTTGCGTTCCAGCAAGCGCTGGCACAGCTTTCGGTTGGTGACCGAATCGTCCACCACCAGCACGCGGAAGTTAGGGATCGAAAACTCGGAGGACTCTAGAGCGTTTTCTTCGTCCGTGTCCATGAACTGGGCCATTTCTCCGGTGGAGGATAGCTTCGACACCGTTCCATTCGACGAGTTGTTCTTCATTTTGGAGACCTTATGTGCCGTTGCTAGCGGCGTTGGATTGTTGTCCGAATAGAGGGTGGTGCACAGCGTGAAAGTACTTCCTTTTCCCAATCCCTGGGAGCTGCAGGTTAGGGTACCTCCGTGCTCGAGAACAATCCCTCGCGCAATATTGAGGCCTAGCCCACTTCCGCCACCGGCCTGGAGCTTGTTTCGATCAAACTGGGTGCCGTCCTCGAAAACCGCATCCACCTGCTCCGGCGTCATCCCCGCACCTTCGTCGATGACCTCCACAGAGACGGACCCAATCTTTGTGACATCGGCGAGCGGGCCCTTGTGGAGCGAAATTTTTTCTTGTTTTTGTTTGCGTTCCGGCAGCAGGTCAAAGGAGACACGTACCGTCATATGGTCGTGTTCTTTCGAAAACTTCAGCCCGTTCGATATTAGGTTGCGAAATACCTGAATCAACCGAATTTTGTCCCCGATGACTTTGCAGTTCTGGACCTTGTCTGGCAATTCCGATGCCTTGCACACAGGCTTGGGAGGGTTGGCCGTCGTCTTGGCCGATTCGTGCTCAATGCTATCTGATAGGGAGGATGGCAAGGACAAAAGTGGAGACAAATCCAGTTCCAGGATGACGAGTTTTTCCTTGGCCGAGACCTGGAATTCTTCGATCGTCTTTTCCAGTGCGCTCCAGAGGTTGATTAGAGAAAGTTCTAGGGACAGGTTCCCCATTTGGATCTTGTCGTAGTTCAGCAAATCGCTCAGGACGCCTACGGCCACATCCGCGTTCTGAAATACTTGACCGGACAGGGTCATCCATTCCTCAACCGTCTCCCGTTTTAGGACCAACAGGTCATTGTTTGAATTTTCCTCGGCCCGTCGCTTGTTGTTGCTTTTGGTATCCGACGAAAGAGAAGTCTCGAGGTCGTTCTGGAGGAGGGTAAGCCCCATGCAAACAGTGTTGAGCGGGGTTCGAACCTCGTGCGAAACGAACCGGACGAACCGACGCTTGGCCTCCAGGAGTTTCTCCTTTGAGTCGAATTCCTGTCGGACGCAATAGTCGTAGGACACAAAGAGCAGACTGGTAAAGATCATGACCAGGACAGTTGCGATGCAGGCCACGATCGATATGGGAACCCCGTCGTCGTCGTTGGTTTCACCCAGGCCATGGGCCATCGAGGACACGAATTTTTCAGTGGCGTAAATGTCCATAAAGTACTCGACGGTTCCTGGCATGAAAAGATTTTCCGTGATGGAGAGGTTCATCCACCGGTATTCGTCACATTCTTCGGAGTAAAGGTACTCGTCGTCCCGAAACGGAACCCATTCATCTTCCGGGTCGCACTCTATGTGGCCACCCCCATTTTTTAGCCAGTAGACCTCCTCGGGGTCCCGCTTGATGCAGGTGTGCGTTCGGTTTCCGACGTACCGGACCTCCCCACTGTCGACGTCGTAGCTGTGTTCCTTCCCCGTGCTCGTGTGGAGGACTACGCGGATCCCGGAGACGTCAGGTTCAAAAGCATGCACGAGTAGGTCATGCCAGAGCTGTTTGTGGAGGATGAATCCGGTGAGCTGAACAAACGTTTATCACATTCACGAAGCAAAGACGAGGAGCGAGACGATACAAGACGAAAGGTTAGATGAAAACCAGTGCTACGAGGAGCAATTCGAAGCAAAACGCAAACCATACAGATATTTTGAAATGGAAAGGGGAAAAGAGAAATCCAAGTTCCATTGCGCGCCCATGTGTTACATTACAAGCTAAGCAAGAACAAAATCAAACAGAGCACAGAAAGGGGCAACACTCACGGTTTCGGGATCGTTCCGGGGATAGATGGGACTGAACATTATCCCGGCTGGACCAGCAACCACGTCCTCCGCCTTGGTACTTTGCCAGAGCATGTCGGTAATGCTCCCGCACTCTATCGGCGGTTCATTTTCTACATCGCTCTCGGTCTCGTTGGCTTCCGCTGCCATTTCCATCGCCAGCCCCCGCTCCTCCGAACACGCCACGATTCCATGCGCCACGCGGGCCCGGTGTTCCTCGAACATGACATCGAGCATGAGTGCGTTATGTTCCCCAAAGTCCGATTGAACAAAGGGGACCATCATGTTGTTAGGGTTGTTGATTCCGTGCTTCGAGTAGTTGGTGAGGACCGGGTACCGGTAGTCTGGCCAGAGCTTGGCGTTGACCACGTCGTAGCCAAAACCAAAGATCCCCTTCCCAAAGCTTGACTCCCCCGTCCCGTTGTGGAATCCCCAGGCCTCGTATAGATCGTAGTAATACTCCTCGAAGCGCTGCTGCTCCTCCCCTCCGTATCCCATCACGATCGGACAAAAGCTGAGCGACCCCTTGGTGATGAGCTTGAGACTCGCCGCAATGTCCTTGTAGCCGTCCATGTGGACAAAGGGCCATTTCTCAGCGTCGGGGTTTGCGCTTCCGAACATGAGCGCCAGGGCGTCCGTGGCCTGCTTCTTCTGCGCCAGGACCCATTCGGCGCTGGCCTCCGCCCGCTCCGCGATCGAGTCGAAGCGGTCCTTCGCCAGCCGGTCCTCGGCGTTCTTCATGAGCGCGTACGAAGCGTAGCCAAAGCCGATCGCGCAGGCCACCAGCACGAACGCCAGGGCAATCCGTCCCAGGCCGATGCTCCGCTTCCGCTTCGCGTGGCCCGGTCCTCCCTGAGAGGTGCCGCTGCGCAAGCCGGCGCTGCTCCCGGTGCTCTTGTTGCCCCCGTTCCCGTTCGCGATGAACTGCTTCAGCTTGTTCGGACCGCTGCCGCTGTTAAGGCTGCTAGCGTGGGTGTTGCCGCTGGCGCTCGAGTTTCGCTGCAGTTTCTTCCGAAAATTGGTGATGCTGGGCCGTAGCTTGGAAAAATTCATGGATGCGGTATGGGAAGCGGGGGAAGCCCCCGAATAGGAGTTTACGGGTTCCGCCATGTTTCTCTCGATTTGGGCGTTTGTTCCTTCGATACTGACAATGAAATTGTTCTAATGCTATCTGTGACGCTCCAATTGGATCGACTGTTGCACCAAAGATGAACAGATTCGATTCGATTCGATTGGATTCGATTCGATTCGTATCGCACGGGTTGAGATCAATCGGTTGCGGGTCGTAGGCGACAGCAAATCGAATCCTTTCCTAGCAGATGCCTTCTTCGTTTCCTTTATAAATGTGCTGTGCAATGTCTTTGGCTCAAGAAGGATCTATTGAGAATCATGATTGGTTTCAGCAGAGGATAGAATGCAATATATTGCTTCTACTGTGTTTACTTGATATATGAGAGAAGTGTACAACAAAATCGGCAGCTGGTGTGCCGTTCTAGTACGATAAAGCGAAAACAAGAGTAAACAACGAGTACGATACTCGTATTCAGCCAGAGTCGGTCATAATCGCAAATTTCCACGAAAACAGTTAGCCGGTCACGATTGTTCGGTACGGTACAATCCATTCTGTTTGTAAATCAATAACCCTGTACGGTACCGAATCCAAATTGTACCGAACCGTACAGTATTACCTTAAGCACGGTACTAGTACCATGTAGGGTATTCATTTTCCGCATTGATAATGGTGTATGACTAATTATGATGTCGAAATTCTTCTTTGGTTCTGAATCATTAAGTAAAATTTACAATCCTGCACATGAGTGTTAAGAAAAAATACTACTTCAAGTTTGTTGATAACATGGCCGCCACTACAATTGGGCTTATTTCCATTGGCCTATATCGTAACGTCCTAGGAAGTTAATAGAACAACAATGACCTATGAATGGCATTGATCAAGTCGAATCTTCAAATACGTGGTTGGGGATCGAACTCACGCTATTCGTACTCCGTTGATGTAGGGTACGATACGAAGTACTGTAGAAGAATGATGGCTTGCCAGTAGGCAAAAGGCATACCAACCCACTAAGGTACCGTACTCAACAGTAGACTGTACGAGGTAGAGATGCCGGATGGAACGGCCGAAGCATACGAGGTACGAAGGCAAATGAGGTGGAGACAGGCCCGGAGTCAGTACAAATTGTACACAGCTCTACGAAATATTTGGTAGTACTAATTTGTACGTAGGATTCTACACACCTTGGGGATACTGAGGGCTCTTAAGAAAAAACCACTTGGCCGATCATACTGAGAATTCCAGATCCCCTTCTTCGCATTATGATGAAGTTATTCCAGTACATGTGTGGAGTGGAAGTGTCCCTAGTAGCTCTGTCTGGAGGGCGAGACAACCCTCATGCTGGTGTTTTTTTTACTAGAAAAACTGCGCGGTTTTTTTGAAATTATAACCTGTCTCACATTCGGTCCACACATTTGCCTTCCCACCTCGTTGCAACGGATACGTACGTACTGTATTGAAAGGATACGTACGTACTGGAAAGGAAGCATACGTACGATACGATGCTCCCTCTGAATGGATKGAKATACCATTCCTACCTACATATCATAATATACTATTCATATATACAGATCATACGATCCTTCGGTTGAGGACCGTAAGAGGTCTAAGATACTATTCGAGAATACCTCACGAAGAATAGATATGTCACGAGTCCGGAACAGAGAACCTCCATGTAGAATCCCTACCAGGTCTACATGAGGTTC